ACCGCAGCTCTGCGGCTGACTCTGCTTTGGGTGGAATTGCACTTCCAGTCGCTCGTTCTGCCTGCTTTATGGAGAGTGGACTTCAGGGTGGGAACCACAAATGTGGCGGACTCACTGAGGCTGGCACAGTAGCCAAAAGGGAGAACACGGTGACCTGGAGAGCTGCAGGCATCTTTCCAATAAGTGAACTGAGGGGCTGGCGCTGCGGTGCAGCAGCTTACGGTGCTACCTGTAATATCCACGAAAGCAGGCCCTTCCAGTTCCTCCACTCTCGGTCAAGGCTGGGTCTGCAGGGGTCACTCAGGGGCCTCTACTCCATCTGAGCAAGGACAGGGGCACTTATGGAATACCCTCTGCATGCTAGACACTCTGCACATGTGGTCGCCAATCTCATACGGAAGACACTGGGTAACTTCTACAGACCAGAAAGCTCAGAGAAGCAGGTCACTTCCCATGGAAACTGGTGGGAACGGGATCCGAACCCAAGTCTCCTGGACCCCAAAACCTGCCTTCCTGGTTTAACGCTGCCTCTGCATTTCAGCAGAATCTTTGTGTCGGGCTCTGTTACCCAGCCAGCCTGCTCGCCCACGTGGACAAGCCACTTTGGCTGCTGAAACAGAAGAAGACACCAGATCAACCACCTTTTCCGTTTTCCCCCCAACGCTGGAACCGACTGACACTGGTTAGCAGCACAGCTCCTAACTAGCCAAGCCCAAGCCCAGGAGGTGAGGCCCCGTGCACCTGCAGCAGGTGGAGCACGCGTGTGTTCCCCGATGAGGAGGCCGACAGTAAACAGAAGCGGAGTGAGTTGGGAGGCTCCACCTTTCTTTGATTTATTGAAGGAAAATACTGTGCCTTCCTAGAGCATGCTTTTCCAAAGTAGTGAAATAGAAAAAAATACACGAATAAAAATCCGTCGCAGGTGGATGTGTCACTAGGAGCCTAAAACAACAATGTCTTCAGGAGTGTGAATGCGTAAGGAGTTGCTTTGGGGTAAACCTGGGCTCTGGACTTCTCTGAAGCCCACAGAGAGGTCTACACAGTTGAGGACCCAGGGGGTGCGCCCGCTGCAGGTGGAAGAGAGCTCTCAGTTCTTGTCACGGTAAGAGGATGGTGACAAGCCACCACCAGCCCCACAGACTCCAAGGCTGAAGTCACGGCTGCTTCAGCTCAGATGGGAGGGAGTCAGTCATCCGACTGCCAGGCCACAACCCCGCAAAAGACCTGCAGGCTGCACAAGTCATGACGGGGAGAGACGCGGATCACACGGTCAGGGGCACGGCACCTCCACCCCACCCACTTCCTGGGCCGCGGCAGTGTGGGCAGGCAGTCACCCTGGACTGGGTCCCCCAAATACCCTGTGGTTAACCCTCCTTGCTTCCACTGCTTCTTGCGGGACACTGCGAGGACAGATGGGTTCTGAGTCCCCAGCTCCACTGAGCCGGGCACGGGGCTGCAGGAGAGCCAGGGAGGTGGGCCACAGCAGCAAGGGCGTCGCCCCCATGACACTCACATTCGGGAACTGTGAAGTCTGGCCTTGCACCTGGACGTCCTCCTCTGTAAGCTGAGGTTGTAGCGACCTCACAGGGGCGCTGGCAGATCAAGGGGTGCAAATGAGACAAGTGTACCTCAAAACACTCATGGGAAATGGACTTAAAAGCTTATTTTGCGCCGCGGCTCACTAGGCTAATCCTCCGCCTTGCGGCGCCGGCACACCGGGTTCTGGTCCCGGTCGGGGTGCCGGATTCTGCCCCCGTTGCCCCTCTTCCAGGCCAGCTCTCTGCTGTGGCCCAGGAGGGCAGTGGAGGATGGCCCAAGTGCTTGGGCCCTGCACCCCATGGGAGACCAGGAGAAGCACCTGGCTCCTGCCTTCGGATCAGCGCGGTGTGCCAGCTGCATCACGCTAGCCGCGGCGGCCATTGGAGGGTGAACCAAAGGCAAAAGGAAGACCTTTCTCTGTCTCTCTCTTTGTCCACTCTGCCTGTCCAAAACAAAACAAAACAAAAAACACCTTATTTTGCTGGGGAAAAAATCTGAAATCATGCAACTAAGAGTTCTTTATAAAGGAAAATGTCTACTATGAACCAACAGTCACGGATTTCAAGTTTCTTAGTACTAAAATACTCTTAGCTTTCAACTAAATTTATGACCTTTTCCCCAAAAATAATAAAAACATAATTTATTCACCACAAATGTGCAATAGCAATTGCCTAAAAACACAAAATAATGCTATAAAAATTTAACACCAATTAACAAATGGAACTATAAACCACACTAACATGTCAATATTCAAAATCAAGATGTTGAATATTACCAAATTAAAGGTTTAATGCAAAAACAACCTAAATTCCATCCAGAAATTTAGTCTAGACATTAACAAGCTGATTTAAAAAGTCACATCAAAATTCACAGAAATTGGAATAGCCAAAAGAACAAGAAGAAAATCAAAAGATGAACAGCATTTGATTTTAAGAACTACTAGGAAGCTATAATCATCAAATCTATAATTAGTTGTTTTTTCCTCAGGTGATTTTTTAGTCACAGTGATTTTGTTTCTTGTTTTAATTCATTTACAAACTTTTGAAGCTACAAAGCACTGAGAAATGCTGCTCACTGTCATTTTTTAATTTATTAAATTTACTGCTTTCCTATCCTGTCCCTGGCGGGTTGAGGAAGAGGGAATGACTCCATATTTCCCACATCTGTACCATCAAGAATTTCTCGGCCGGCGCCGCGGCTCAATAGGCTAATCCTCCACCTAGCTGCGCCGGCACACCGGGTTCTAGTCCCGGTCAAGGTACCAGATTCTGTCCCGGTTGTCCCTCTTCCAGGCCAGCTCTCTGCTGTGGCCAGGGAGTGCAGTGGAGGATGGCCCAGGTGCTTGGGCCCTGCACCCCATGGGAGACCAGGAGAAGCACCTGGCTCCTGCCTTCGGATCAGCGTGGTGCGCCGGCCACAGTGTGCCAGCCGCAGCGGCCACTGGAGGGTGAACCAACGGCAAAAGGAAGACCTTTCTCTCTGTCTCTCTCTCTCACTATCCACTCTGCCTGTCAAAAAAAAAAAAAAAAAAAAAGAATTTCTCATGGCTCCCCCACTGGTTCTGCATTTTGGTGATGCTGCCTGCTTAATCACAGTAAGTCCTCGTGGTCTATTATTAGCCTAAGAAATAAGCATGCTTCACATGTACAAAGTTACATGGAAATCTTCATCAGCACTATTAAGAAAATAAAAAGACAACCTACTTTTTCAAATTGTGCATCTGATGGGATCCGTTATCCAGAACATACAGAGAAGGCTTAAAACTCAGCAATAAAAAGAGCAAAAATCCACTTAAAAACAGGGAAAGGACTTAAATAGACATGTGTCCACAGAACTGAGACAAACATCCACATGCATCAGGATGGTCAGCGTTATTAGTCAGCAGGGAACTGCAAATCAAAACCACCAGGAGGGGCCTGCGCTGTGGCGCACTAGGTTAATCCTCCGCCTGTGACGCCGGCATCCCATATGGGCGCTGGGTTCTAGTCCCAGTTGCTGCTCTTTCAGTCCAGCTCTCTGCTGTGGCCCAGGAGTGCAGTGGAGGATGGCCCAAGTGCTTGGGCTCCTGCACCCGCGTTGGAGACCGGGAAGAAACTCCTGGCTCCTGGCTTCGGAATGGCGCAGTGCCGGCCATAGCAGCCATTTGGGGAGTGAACCAACAGAAGGAAGACCTTTCTGTCTCTCTCTCTCTCTCTCACTGTCTGTGAACTCTACCTGTCATATTAAAAAAAAAAAAAAACCCAGGAAACACTCCCCTCACACTCACTCATGTGGCCATCATAACAAAGAGAAGACAAAAGCAAAGGCCACTGAGTTTGCTGGGAACTGGAGCCTTTGCACACTGCCAGAGGGAATGGCCAGTCCTCTAAGGTCAAACACAGAGCTACCGAGTGACCCGGCAATTACAGGAATTCAAACATAGTCAAGAACATTTTATTAGGAATAAGGACCATTTCCAAGAAAATTGGGCACACACCTTCACATAAAAACTTAGACATGAATTTCTTTAGCAATCAATTCATAATAGACATAAGTAGAAATGGCCCAAATGCCCATCAACTTGTAAAACTGATTCAAACAATGTGGTCTAATATTATCCAGCCGTAAAAAGAAATGAGGTAGTGACACCTGCTATAAAAAAGATGAGCCTCAAAAACATGCTAAGTGTGAAAGGAGGGAGACAAAAAAGGCCAAGCATCGTACGGCTGCTTTCTAAGGGCTGTACAGAATGGACAAATCTACGGATTCAGAAAGCAGAGCAGCGGTTGCCGGGGCAGGGAGAATGGGCATGACTGACTGGATAAAGGTGTTCTTCCAGGGGCAATGAAATGTTCTGGAATCAGACAGCGGTAATGGTTGTACAACCTTGTGGAAACAGTGAAAACCAATGAACCATATGTTTTAAAAGGGTGAAACTTCCGGTATGTGAATTGTTTTGCTAAAAGCATACCTGAAGGTACTTCAAAGACTTTATGGGAAAAAGGAATTAAGACACAAATTTATTCTGGTGTTTAAAAAAAATGAAATTTATGCAGAGTTTTTACATGATGCATATTTTCCACTAACTTTTTGAAGACCCTGCACATAAGTGAACCGAGTGAGTACCATTCTATCTCCAGCAAAGAAATGTGACTTGGTGACGACAGTGAAGTGTAGCTGGAAAGTCCGAGACAGGATGCTTCGATTCCTGGGCCTGCCCCCAACTCTGAGACCAGGACTGGGTCGCCAAATATCCCCGTGACCCACGGTCTATAAAAAGGGATAACATCATGATCTGGTCATAAAGACCAAATGGGATCATGTATGCAAAGTGATTAGCCAGTTGCGTCCAGCAGTCATGTTTTAATGAATGCATTATTTTCTCTGGCTCCCTGATGGAACAACAGAGAAAGCTGATGTCCCCCTCTGAACCAGAGGGGCGCCTGGCTCCCCACAGCGCTCCCCAGCCCAAGCCCCTTTACCTCGGGTGTCAGCGCGTTGTTGTCTGAGGTCTGGCTAGACAGCAGGATGTGCGTGAACCCCTCTTCCTTCCGCACGACGATGTCTCGAAACCGGCAGTTGCTTTCATTCTGGCGGACGCTGTACCTGAGCCTCTTGTCAAAGACGTAGTCCTTCTCCGTGTCCAGCTTCCGCTTCACGGGGCTGTGCAGGTTCAACGCCCCATTGGTCAGAGCCGAGCCTTCCAAAATCAGACAAACAAAATGAGAAACTGGCTGGGGGCCCCATCCCAGAAGAACACGATCAGAGAAATGTTGAGATTTTCCCAGGGAAAAGCCGAGATGTGGCTGGGACCCCCCACCCCGAGCACCCTCTGTCCTGCTGCAGTGGAGAGCCCAGGGCTTAGCAGGTGCTCAGGAAAGTCCCCCCTCCCCCGTCCTGATGCCCTCTCCCCCACACATGGGCCTGCAAGGCTCAGGCTTCTGCTCAGATTCCTTATCAAGGGAACCAGTGACCCCCCAGGAGGCAGCCCTGTCTGTCTGAGGACCCCTCTGACAGCCAGAGCAGCACTAGGCCCTGCGCGCCCTGCACTGTGTGCACAGCCCCACCCTAAAGCAGTCCAGGGCACTGTCCCCTTCAATATGAGGACCTGGGAAGCGGCTCTGGGCCCCCAGTGCTTCCTTAGCATGGTGAGCACCGAGCAGGCAGGGTGCTTGTGTCTCTCCTTGCCCTTCCACAGCTGTGCCTTTTTCTGTTTTCCCTGTTAGCATCCTCAAATGGCCACAGTGCCCTGGCTGAAAAGGCGTGGAAACGAACAACAAAATGACCTAGGTTTCTGACAGCTGCCAACCAGCCTCCTCCCAGCTGCAGACACCAGGTACTCTAAGAAAGCACACCCAAGTGCCAGCCCCAAAGCCCCATCCGAAGCCGGCCTGGGAAGTGGCTCAACTCCGGCCAAGAAATAAACAGATAAAATGCAAATTACCAGTATCAGAAATGAGAGGGGTCATCCCTATTGACCCTGTGGACATTGAAAAGGATAATAAAGAAATACAATTAGCAACTGTGCCCATTTGTTTGGTAATCTAGATGAAATGGGCCAATTCCTTGAGAGTCAAAACCTCTGAAAATACACACAGGAGACATGCATCAACTGAACAGGCAATCAATAATTAATCATCTCCTAAAAAAATTAACAAGACGAATCGTAGCAAACAGTTATGGAGGGAATCAGACCAGTTCTCCACAGTCTGGTCCAGATGAAAGAATCAGCACAGGTACACAGAGCGGGTCCACCATTTCAGATGAACCAGAGTCATCACCGCACCCACAGGCAGAAGCAACCGGCGATTGTATCCGCTGCTGCAGAAACAGCATCCGGCAAAATCCAACAGAGGAGAGCGCGCGCCTTGAGAGAGGACATCTAGGAAACACCCACAGCCTGCACGGCGCTGAGCGGTGAGAAGCCGAACGCCAGCAAGCCCACAGAAACCAAGCAAAAGGTCCTGGGATCCTCAAAGGGGGAAATAAAACTGTCTTCTGGCAAGTACAAAGCATCAGAAGAAAGAACAGCCACTTGTGGGAATAACAAGTAAATGCAGCCAGGCTCCGGGATTCAAGGTCAATATCCAAAAGACAGTGGGTTCCCCACAGGCCAGCAGTGAGCAGCTAGAATTTTACAGGTACAAAACCACACTATTTACAACAGCACCCCAAACGGAAAATGCTTGGGGAATAAATCTAATGAGATGAGTCCAGAATCTACATGTGAGAAACCACAAAACCATGATGAACAAAATCAAAATAGATCCAATTAAATGAAGAGATAATCTGTGTTTATGAATTGAAAGGCTCATTTTTTAAGATTTATTAATTTATTTGAAAGGCAGAGTTACAGAGAGGCAGAGGCAGCGAGAGAGAGACACAGAGGTCTTCCATCTGCTGGTTCACACCCTACGTGGCCTCAACAGCTGGACCTGCACCAATCCCATGCAGGAGCATCCTCGAGGTCTCACATGTGGGTGCAGAGGCCCAAGCATTTGAGCCATCTTCTACTGCTTTCCCAGGCTACAGCAGAGAGCTGGATCGGAATTGGGGCAGCCAGGACCCAAAACGGTGCCCATATGGGATGCGTCACTGCTAGGCGGTGGCTCTACCCATTATGCCACAGCACCAGCCCCTTAATATTTTTTTATTTTTCATTTATTTGAGAGCCAGAGAGAGCTCCCCCCCCCCATTGATTGTTTCTTTCCCCCAGAATGTCCACAATAGCTGGGGTTGTGTTGGGTTTGCAGCCAGGAACCAGGAATGCAATCCTGGTCTCTTATATGGGTGGCACAATCTAATTCCTCAGCCATTACCACTGCCTAGCTGGGTCTGCACTGGCAAGAAGCTGAGTCAGGAGCTGGAGTCAGGAAATGAACCCAGGTATTGACCATGGCACACAGACACCTTACTGCAGACATCAAGGGCAAACTATGGGGCCAATGCCATGGTGCAGAAGACTAAGACCTGGCCTGCAGTGCAGGCATCCCATACGGGCACTGGTTCGTGTCCTGGCTGCTCCTCTTCCAATTCAGCTCTCTGCTATGGCTTGGGAAAACAGTGGAAGATGGTCCAAGTGTTTGGGTCCCTGCACCCACCTGGGAGACCCGGAAGAAACTCCTGGCTCCCGGTTTCAGATTGGCTCAGCTCCAGCCATTGTGGCCATTTAGGGAATGAACCAGGGGATGGAAGACCTTTCTTTCGTTTCTCCCTGTCTCTAACTCTACCTCTCAGATAAATAAATCTCTTTTTTTAAAAAAAGAGCAAACTAAATGTTTAGTTTAATATAGGTACAAAGGATTGTATACAGAATTATCTGTATACATACATATGCATATATCAGTATCAACACACAACGCGTATGCACACACAGGTCAGTATGGATACACAGATGTGCACGCATGGGTCAGTACAAGTACGTAAGTGTGCTCACACAAGTGTCAATACATAAGTGTGCACATGAGTCTTACTGAATGCACACACTGGCTGGGTCAGTTGAGAAGGCCTCGAATCAATGACATCCCAGTAGCAAAGAGCACACCCCGGACAGATTTTAGTTTCCACTGTGATTCTAACCAAAGGAAGCAGGGCACCCCGGAAAAATGGCTGACCCTAGGAGATAAACTTGTAGTGCCTGGACAGAAGGAAGTGCCCATACAAAACAAGGTAAACTTCCACGCTGAGGGGGGCATGTCGAAAGGACACCTGAGCCAACCCAAAGAGCTTCCAGGATACTATGTGGGCAACACAATAAAGTCATCCCGATAATAAATGAAAATATAAAGCAACCGTCCACAAGCCCATGCTGGGAAGAATAAAGATCACATACCCAACAAACACACAGAGAGGAAGCCCAGGTGCAGAAGAATTCCAAGTAAATTCTGTCAATGCCCCACCCACAGCTCTGCTTTCCTGAGTGTGTGCTGCACACTTCCTTCCCGAAAGTACAGTGTGGAAAGGTAGAGGACTTAACTGCACATTGGGGAAACCTCACAAGCACGCCTCGGCCAGGTGATCAAGGTCAACGCCGACAACAGCAGGGTCTTGTGTGTAACAGGCATCCCTGATGTGATTCAGTGTGAAAGGCCCTCCTGGGGTCTGTCTTCCAAAACTCCCAACTCCAGTCTAATTACGAGAAAAACATCAAATGACCCCGGCCGAGGGAAATTCTACAAAATACCTCAGCAGCCCTCCTGCAAACCCTTAAAGCCATCAAAAAGGAGGAGAGCTTGAGAACTGAGCCTCAGGGGACGTGATGACAGCTCCTAGGTGGGATCCTGGGACAGGCATCAGGTGCAAACTGGAACACAATGCTGACTTTAGTTCACAGGAATGTATTAATATTGGTTCATCAATTTAACAAAGCTACTACACCCATGGAAGATGTTAACAGGAGAAAGTAGGTTTGGGGTATCCAGGAAATTTCTGTGTTCGCTTTCCAATCTCTCTGTAAATCGAAAACTGCTTAAAAAGTGAAGTTGGCTTTTTCAATATAAACTATTCATTGAATATTTTAAAAATTGGTTTCATCAAAAAAGCAACACTCTGCAGTTGGGCAGGTTTGAGAACTCTGACCAGCAGCTCCTGCACTTGAGTGTACATCAGCATCACCAGGGGATTGTTCAAAACCAGCCCGTGGGGCCTCCCCAATGACGCTGCCACTGGTCCAGGGCCCAGGCAACCCAGGCCTCCTCCATCACCAGGAGTCACTTGGAGGGGGGGTGTAAGCAGGTGTCCTAAAGAATGCTGCCCCCTGGGGCTGCCCCACACTTGCTCCCTGACGAAGTCCTGGAAGTCACCGCTGTCACCATTTCAGCCAGGTTGGTGAGTGACTGCCCCTGCAGGGTGCAGGTGCATCTCAGAGACAACCTCGCCAGCTGTGGTGATACGGGCAGGGAGAGTGCAAGGAGACACAGAGGAGTGCTTACTGTGTGCTAAGCACTCTGTCAGGCTGGGATGGGAGAGGAATCAGCTCCCAGAGGCCGAGCCTCTGCCCCTGGAAAGAAGACTGTCTGCATGCAGCATGGACACACTCCATTTCCTGGTCCTTAGACAGCAGAGTAGCAAGATGAGAAAGAAGACACCATTAAAGGGGCCAGCAGACAGTTAACAAACACAGGGGCTCTTACTTGTGTCTCGATGGTCACATCCTAGCTCATCACAGATTGATTCTGGTCAGACCTGCAGGGTGAGCCCCTCTCTCTAATCACAGCCTGTCTGGAAGCAAGTCTGCCGGCATGCTCTCTGGCCAGCAGCACCTGAAGGCCAGAGGCTCACTTCTCGGCACCCATAGCCCTGGGCTCGGGCTGTTAATTAGCCGTGAAAGCCTTGGACCCCCAAACACCAGGCCAAAGGCAGAGACCAGGAACTGCTCTGGGGGGCCCCTCTGCATGCCAGGCGGCCCCCAGAAGATGAGCAGAGCCCCCATGGCCACAGGGCTGAGAAGCTGTGCCTATGACAACCCAGGACTTCTGCGACACCTCCTCATCTGTACTTCTCCGTCACCCAAACATCTGGGCTTTGTCAGACAGGAAGCTGCCACAGCTCCTGACGCTGGGTAAAGAGGTTCAGGAACACTGGCAAGTGACCACGAAAGGCCTGTGCAGATGAACAGACCCCAGGCGGTGAGGAGCACACGAGTTTCCAGTCAGCCTCAGCAGCCCGGCCAATCCCTGGTTACAGATGCCCAGAGCCTGT